TTTGTTCGATTTTGAACTAGTGTTATTGATATCATTAGAATCAAATCTTGAAAAAAACTCTTCTGTGTCTTGCATCATCATCAAAATTGGCCTTTTTTTTTGTATTTAATCTGAATTGATGAATTCAGTTTTTTTTTATACTATGAAGAAATTCGAGTATATCTTGGTGAAATAATAAAATTCAGGGCAGAAAATAAAAATTATATAGATTAATAAATAAATTAAAAAAAATATATTTTAAAATAATTAACATTGACCAAAATTAAAGAATAATTAGTTACGAGCTGAATTATTTGCTAAAAAAATAATGATAATGAATACGTGAAAAAATTGTAAATTGAAAGAATACAATATATAGCTAATAATATTTTTTTATATATTTTAATCTATTTTACAAATAATTTTGCTTGTGCGACGGAGGTCCAAATTCTAAAATGAAGTCAAATTTTTAGACTATAAAAATGGATAATATTATTAAAGTCATTAGGAAAATTGAGTATTTCCGTCAAAGCAAATCCGAAAATGGCATGACAAGACCTCATGACCGATTTAATTAATATTTGTTCAAACAAATTACGTAATTTATGTCATCTATTACTAAATTTGGCTTGCTCTGCGTAAAAATCCGAACATTCCGAAACTCAATAAAATGTTAAAAAAAAAAAAATATAATATTAATAAAAATCTTATCTCCTTTCTTACCTTATTTATATTCGACATATTGAAAGTTATTAAATTATTTTTATTTAAAAAAGAATATTTTTTTTATTTTTAAAAAGAAAAAATTCTTTAAAAATAATTAGGCGATCAATTGACTTCTTTTTTTTAGCACGTTTATCATAATGCAGTTAATGCAAGTCCCAAAAGAAATTCATTTATCGATTATAAAATCAATCCTAGAATCTGTCAATTCCGTTAATGCATTGAAACCACTTGCATTTACGTGTCGTCACTTCGCATACCTTTGTCTCTACGAAATTTGGAAGACAAGAAGGTTTGTAGAGAATAATTCATTGAAAACATTCCGTAACACTCTATCAAAAAATCTATTAATACCTTATGGAGATTTCATATTATCAATACAATTAGATGAATTAAATAAATTACCACCAATTTACATTGATGATAAATTAATTAAATTTTTAGCTGAAAAATGCAAAAATCTTAAAGAATTAATATTAAGATTTTCTCAGAAGAAAAGAAAAAATAAAGCATATTTACTTCCTTTGGAGTTGCTTGGGGATCGAATAAATAATTTGTCAATAGCCGATTATGAAAATTGGGATAATCAGATGGAAATGTCATCGCTGGTTACTATAGGACAACAAGCTTTTAATAATATGTATAATAATACATATAAACCTTCTACCTGTAAAGATTCAGATAATTCGCAAGAGGGATCAAAAGGAGGTTCAAACGATAGCAACAGAAATGATGAAGCGGAATACCAAGATGCGTTAAGTAAGACTGTTAAATTAGGGGTCGTTAAAAGTGTTCGATTATATGATCCAAAAATGTCTGAACGGGTGTGGGAAAGGTATTAAATATTTATACCTTTAGAAAAAATATTATTGTCAAATATACTAAATAAAATTTTTTTTCCCCATTACCGCTACACATAGTTTTACGAGCAATGCAAAAAATTCCTTGCAATCGATTAGAATAACATTGAATCAATCAAGATTAACAACAGATCCATCAACGATTGTTATGTTATTTGGAAAATATTGTAAGAATTTAAGAATATTTGATATCGATACATTTCAACAAGCCATCTCTAAAGATTCCATAATGATATTACTGGAAAATTGTAAAAAATTAGAAGATTTAGATATAGCAGCATCAAGTGAAGCGGTTCCATTTTTATATAAATCTAAATCAATCAAGTCAATATTTCTATCACGTATAATCAATGGGAATGATTTAAATCAAATTAATGAATGTATGGAGAATTTAAAAAGGTTATCGTTTTTAAAAATTGATGGTAAAAGTAATTTATTGTTTTTGAAGAATTTTCCAAATTTAGAATGCTTGTCGATTGAGGATTTTGGTGAAATGAATGACGAAGGATCTTTAAATGTTTCAAAGTTAAATTTAACCGAATTAGATTTATTTCGAACTCCAAACATATCGGATGAAGCATTACTCATGTTTGGGTCAATGAATTCATTAGTCAAGTTTAAAATTAGAGCTGGTTTACCCAATGTGACGCAAAAAGGTTGGATTAATTTAGTGAGAAGGCCGATCGGTTGCCCTTCTTGGCGTTCAATTAGAATCGATGATGGTAGACAAATTAATCCCGAATTTTTCGAAATTTTAGAACAAGATCATTCTGATTTAGAGTTTTTGAGAATAAGAGGTTTTAAATATGATAATCTATTAAATGATGATTCTTTTGAAAAGTCCAAATTTAAGGAAGCTTGGTGGTTTTATAAAAATACTACTTCTTATACCCCTATTGTTTATTGGCCTATTAGATACAAGAAGGAAAATTATGCAGACATCTAAGCAAGAGTGCGTCTATTAGAAAGGAAGATATGATAATAATTAAAAGAAAATATTTACCTGTAACATCCCATGATATCACAGGGGAGGTTACGTCATTTGGATATTATAATATAATAAAATAATTATCAATTTAACAAGAAAATGTAAAAACTGCTTATATTACTAAAATAAAGTCCAAATTGTTAAATATGAGCGCAACAGACTTTTAATATCACTATACGGATAGGCGAAAAGCATTTATATGTAGTACAATAAAAGGGAGTTACTACTGTAAAATTAGACTTAAACTTTATTGGTGTTACGAAACTTTATTATCATTATTCTAACTAGTTAAAATACAAAGCATTAACTAACTTTTACACGTTCTTGCGTTCTGTCCTACTTCTTGCATTTACCACAGATATTTTTCCCTTTTATATTGGATTCCCTTTACGCCATTTCATGCATCTTGATCTAATAGAACCATCATGATTTTGTTCTATTCTTTTCTTTCTTTCTAACAGCAAAACCAGAAAACCTACCGAATTCCAAACAGTAATGAAGAGCAATATCAAAGTTTGGAAATATCATTCCTTCATCAAGTATTAATCTAGGCAACATTGAACCAAATTTATCCTTAAATAAAATAAAGCAACAATAATACAACAAAAATAATAATCAATATCTATAACATGCATCATTTAATGGACTAGATGAGATAATTCCATTTGTATTGACATAGTTTTTCAGTTTGGTTTGGAGAAAAATTATGAGGGAGCTTTTTATATTCACCAATATTTATTATTTATTTAAATGATATTGTATCATAATTTACCAATTTAACTTTTATGCAAAAGAGTTTTTATTATTTTACTTTTTTATATTATTTTTATATTTTATAGGTATAAACAAATATTTTTAACTGATAATAATTTTAGTCCAGTTTCAATAGAGTCAAATTATTATTATTCACATGGAAAAAAAAATAGTAATTGAATTGTGATAATATAGATCAATTAGTCTATAAAAACATAGAATAGTCTTTCAAAATTTAAAAAATTGAAGGAAAAAAATAGGATAGGTCATGCAGGATAATTAAAATAATTAATATTGATATAGAAATAGTATAAGTTAAAAATTATGATAAAGGAAATTGATTTTCTACAGATTGACCAATAAACAATTATTTTCGAAATATATTTTTTATAAATTAAAATATATTTAAAAAAAAGTTCACAATAATGCTGTTCTATTAAATATAAAGGAAAAACTTTATTAGAAAGAAATGCGCCTAAAAATGAATACGTATATCTAAAAACAAAAATATAAAATAAATAAAAGAAATCCTTAAATATGAAAGTTACAAACAAATTTCATGTTAAAATTGTCATACTCAATAAAATACTTTTTTATTAAATTTAACAATAATCAACGAAATTATCATTAAATTACTTAAAATTTAATAAATAATTATCGAAAAAAAAGAAAATGATTTATGTTATATCAAAACTCCCTATCTTCTGCAATAATTATTGCTCTCTCTCTTGTATAAAAATAAATTGAAATATTATCTATGTATATTTATGATCAACGGAGTTCTGGTTCTACTTTTTTGCTGTTTGTGTTTCTTGCAATAGCATCATAAATAAAGCTAATGATATTTGTGCTTAATAATACAGAGCTTGTAGTTAATGTGAAAAATCCAAATAATTGATACTTTTTAGAAGTAGCAGCATAAATAATCTATAAATCAAAGAATTAAGAATCATAATAACGATAAGTAAAAGTAAAAATATATATATATATATAACTAAAGTGAAGATTTCTCACCTGAACAAGTAATTGCGGTAAATCTTCGATCAAAATATTCAAGAATCCACCCAAAAAAATCCAATATTGTGCCTTTGAAGAAAAAGGAGAAATAAATATTTTAAATCCTGCAAAGTTTGAATCAAGCAAATGAAGTAATTCAACGTTTCCAGAACTAAATAATGTTATTAATGCGGCTAATTTTGAGTTTCTTTTAAACCAAACAGAAAATTTAGGATTTTCTCTCGTCTCAAATATAAATATATCAAACGCTAAGCATATATTTAAAATTGTGGGAACGCAGAAAAATACAATACTTCAAAAAAAATGATTAAAATAAAATTAATATATAATTAATATTTAAATTAAAGGTTATTATTAAAATACCTTGGAATTAAGAATTTGATTTGTAAAGTCTCTTTAAGGTTCACGATAAATAAAATATCGTTAATTATATCTAGCACAATAAGTGCAACTTTAAATATGATACTATTGAAACCCTATAAAATGACAACGCATATTAATTAAAGCAACGGTTCTTAAATTCATTCAATTTATCCAAATCATACCTTTTTATTTTTATATTGACCAAATAAATATAAAAAAACCAATAGGGTCGCGCCAAGTGTTGACAAAATTATAAATGTCTGATTTTTTACAAGGTTTTGCAAAATTTCTTTAATTTCTTCCAGAAAGTTGTCTATTCAAAGAAACAAGGCAAAATAAAGATTATTATGATTAACAAGGTAAGGAATATAAGCAAAATAATACTTGCATGTATCATTTGATCCATAATTTTTGTCAATAAACTTTGTATAATGGTAAATATCTAAGGGTGTTGTAAAACTACTATTTTTAAGTAATTTAGTAAAATCATTGGCAACTTCTTGAGAACTTTTTTTGTTAAAATTATTTTCATTTGAAGGATCAATTACGTATGTAATAAGAAGTAATTCATAACCCTTTTCGTATACAAACGTTGACTGTAAATCATTTAATCTTGAAAAATCAACCGGAATACTCTTAGCAATTTCTATTCTCATTTGCTCAAGAAAATTAACTTTTTTATCTTTATCTAATTCCTTAAAAGCATTTGTGTCTTCAACAGTCAAACGTAAAATTCCAGTATAGGAATCTAAAAAGGACAATTAATTTGCGTGACCAATTAAATTAGCATTTGACAGCAAAATCGAAAAACTTTTTCATTAAGTACCGGGCATATCAACGGATGATAAAGGCTTAGGCTTATCTACAGAGTATTTATTATTTATAATAAATTAAAAGTCATTGATAGATTATAAAAAAGCTACAAACCTGTTGATAAGGTGTGTATAGGCCACGATTCTTTTTTTATGCCAGGTATATCTTGGTTAATCATCCTAAATTCGGCAAAATCATCATCTATTTCAATGTGGTAAGTCATTTCAGGTATATTAAAAGTGGTCTCCATGACAGTCAAACTTATAGAATATTCATCTTTGCTAGGAACACAATTTGGCTCCATACACTTATAAGTTTGACGTAAAAGATATTCTCCGTTATAATACTGATAAATTGAGGCATTCGCTTTACCCGTTAATTTGATTGGATGAATAAAAGTGATGTTTATAATTTTTGTGTCATTATAAATGTTTTCATTCCATACGGGCCAAGTTTTTGTAATATGAAAATTATTGAGCTTATTGGCTTAAAAAATTGAATCAATTTATTAAAAATCTGTTTTTTTTTTGATAAAAAAGTAATGGTCAAAAATTTTACTTACTTTCAGGAATAAACTGGGATATATTTATAGATTTTAATTCCCATATTTCTTTATCCATATTGACTGCTATTACTAATTCATTATCATGGAGGATAAATCTAGCAATATCACTATGAGAAGTATAATTCAAGTACCCTCCATTAAATTTTGATGAAGGTGTTAAATCATTAGTTCTAACATTAAATAATACTAAGTTTATTGATTTTGAAGATCGAAAGTAAAAAAGTATCATAAAATACACTTCTGAGGCCGGATATGTAATAAGTAAAGAATCATATTCAATTTCAATTTTTAAATCTCTTGTTTTAACTTGAAAATCATCATCAATTTCCGCCAATATAAATCGTTGATCATTCGATAGTATCAAGCAAGAACATATATAATTTGTTCTCATATCAGCTTTACATTTTATGTGATTCATATTCGTTGATGTCGTTGATGTCTGGAGAGTCAAATTAAGATGACTTATTTTATTAGGATGCACTAATGTAAGAAACGTTTGTTGAACCCCTTTAAAATTGAAATCAAGGACGAAAGATAAAATTCCATAACCTCCTCTTATCGAAAATAAGTCAGCCGGATATACTGTTAAGTTTTGTTTAAAAGTAACAAACCCCTCCTCTTGATGTATAATAAGTCTGCCATTACTTTCAAAGAAGAAATCCGTTAACGTTAGAGTAACGTAAATTTTAATGGTAGAATATAAAATTCAAATACTTACTCTTCATTGTAAATGTATTTATTATAAAACAATTTATTATCTCCATTGGGGAATAATAATAATAAAGTACTACTTTCGTTGTAAAAACTATCTTGAATTATTAATTGCGTTAATGGCGTTCCGATTTCCAATTCCGGAGGTAACGTAATCACTTTATTTTTAAAAATAATTTCATCGAACCAGTCTGCTATAACTAACACGTATTGATAATACTCAATGTAAATCATTATAATATTATTTGCTTTAAATGGAATTATCTTTTTAATAGAACAATTTGGATTGTCTTTTGAGCAATAATTGGTAAAAAAGTACAACGGACGTGTAGTTTTGTTTGGATGAAGTAATTTAACGCTGCTAACATAAATATTAAAATTAGTTAGATCAGTTAGATCAGTTTGATCTACCATTAGAATTGTTCCATCAGGAAAACGATCTATGTACAATTGATTGAATTCAGTTTGAATTGTGTCGATATATTATATTTAAATTCTATTGAATAGCATGATAATGATAAAAGAACGAAGATAATTGGCACGATTGTTATAAAGAAACTATAGCAACTTTTTGAATACATTACGAGAAAATTAGAATGTTTTATTCTAAAATTATTAAATGGATAATTATTTTTTTTTTAAAAAAAAAAAAAAAAAAAAAAAAAAGATCTGACTTAAAATACCAATTTGAACCTTGCCGATCATTTTATTGGAACAATAAGCGCTGTAAACTGCAAAAAAAAAAATGATCAAATAAGTGTTTTTTTAAATTAGAAATAGATGGTTAATTTTTAACGGTTATTCTGTTTTCATAAGTAACGGGACACGGCAATTTTTTTAGCCGAGTAACTGCCGGGTAGTCGGGTTGTCGGGTATAAACACGTGATAATACATTATCGTACAATTTATTTCATGTGCCTATTTTGATCAGTAAAAAAAATTTTCAGTTATAAAATGTCACGTTTATTTTGATTTTCAATTTACCGAGTACCCGACCCGGTTAAAATTGACTTAAGCCTAAATTTAATTTTCGGAATGATTATTTTTGATTGTAAAAAATTTCGCTTGCTTCGCCCAAATTTATAGTGCGTCCTAAGTTAAATTAAACGGTTAAATATTTTAAAGCCTCTATTCATTATAATATAAAATCGAAATATATTATCCTAAATTTAGAAATATCCATATTTTATCAATTTAAAGATTAAAATTCGAAATAATATTATAATGTAATTAATATAATAAAATAATTTAAAAAATAAATTCAAATTAATAAAGTTTATTTTATTATTTTATTAGAAGTATAATTTTTTTGGTTTGTAAAGAGAATTACCATTTTGTAGGTAAAAATGTTCGACTCAACCAACAAGCGGAGAATTCAGACATTTTTAAGTCAATGTGCAGAATTATTTAGTTCTTCGCTACGCTCCGGACTAATTATATTTTATTAGTTTTTATCTAAACATATGACTTGTATCTCATGATTCTCTATATATGATAAGTAATGAATGACAATAAAAGATATTTATTTCATAAAAGGAATTATTTACAAGATGAGGCGTTCTTCCATCGTCCGATAATTCACTCCAATAATTATTTTCTACCCGTCTACAATCATTATGATTAACTCAATAATGTGTATCGATAAAATATAAATTTCTTTAAATACACGTACGTTTAATAGTAGAAATAATGATTTGTTAAATCGTGTAAATAATCTAACCATCAACTACAAAAATTTCATACCCATAGAAATAGTAACTTCAAAATGTTAGTATGTTCGAGTTACACAGTATAAATATTTTCAATCCTATCATTTGGAAAATAATTCTTCGGATTTTAAAATTTTTTGCCAAAATTCAAAATCTCCTAAAATTAGGTTTGTAATACCTTATTGCAATTAATAACCAGTTTCTAACTGGTATTTGATTCAAAAATTTTGTGCGACTTTACAAATAATGCATCTTTTTGATGGGTTGGGTATATCAAACGATCGACAATTCATTATATTAAGTAGAACTGTAACCACTATTTGAAAATCATCTGAAAAGCCTTAAAGTCTGGCACATTCCCTCGGTGTTAGTTTCCTTGGGGTTTTTTTTATTGTGCCTTTTGTCAAAAGGCACATGTTATTTACCCGTTGGCAAGGTTGGGCTATATCCCCCCATTTTAGGGCTTCAGTGAAAACTAAAGCAAGCCCATTCACATGATTAGATTATCCGATCAGATTATTCATTATTAAGATTACTATATTTATTTTAAATCTGATCATTCCCATTCAATTAATTCAACAGACATTTCATATTTATTATCACAATAAACCCGATTAATCGTCAACCTAAGCTGATGTAATTTCTGTATTATCCTGCATTAAGTTAAAGCTGCTCTTATTGTTTTCGATACTGTAAACGATATTTCATTTTTTTGTAGTGTCACTCTCGGAATTTGACTGCGCCCGGAATTGGTATTGTCGATCAAATTGCTCATTTATGACATATTGACTTTTCGGACCTCTATTAAAGTTCGGACTCCTCGAGTTGATGGAATGTATATGACCATTTTTGACATCAAGAATAAATTAATAAGCATTTCTTTCATCCAAGCCGCAAAATTGAATCTTTGCCAAGAATTCTGTAGCAAAACCATAGGAAAGAATGCACTATAAAAGAAGGACTTTTCTCTTTGTATTATAGATAGGATTTGAACAACTTTGTAATTAGATAGATATTACAGAGCGCCGGTTAATGTTTCAAATCATAAACGTTTCGGATTTTGATGACCAATCCGAAACATAATCCTAAACTCCGTAACTTAGGCGAAACTAAAATATAAATCCTAAACCCTCTGATACTATCCGAAACAAATTCACGTGATTAATATAACAAATAGCGTGTCAGTTTCAAAAAGCAACCGTTACTACTCCATTTAACAAATAAATATGTAACACCAAATAGTAATTAAATGCAACATACAATTGTTTTTTTTTTTGCTTTTTTCCTTTACGATAAATAAATTTTCTTTGAGAATGCCAAATAAAAAAAAAAGAAAATGTAGGAGGTAGACCGAAATAAACCGTCCACTTTGGCGGGCAAATTTGCCTGCTAAAATTATTGAAAAAATTTTGACCCAGAAGCAATTTTTTTTATATTGAATCTTAGTTTAAATTGACCAGGGTCACATGATAACACCAAAATCATACAGCATATAATCATACAAATGGTAAAAATTTCAAATCATGTGTAATTTACTATGCTCCACCCTAGCTCCACCCCGCAAGGCATTACAAATTACTGAACTATCTGAATCGTCTAAAAAATCTATATTAGCCACTATATATCTGAACAAAAAAATGCTATTATATAATAAAGGTACTATCTATAATAGAATTTTACATTATACAAATTAATAAAAAAAATAAAATTTATTTATTATCGATATCTTATGTATGAAAATTAATAAAACAATTATGATTGCTATTACAATAAAGAGGTACATTGCATGCTATACACCAAAGCTGACTTTGATATAGAGTTTTAAGATCCATATCTAAAATTTTTTTGCTTGCTAACCAAGTACACCATTGACATGCTTCTCGTTTTTTTCTCCATTCAGCAAAATGATTTCCAGGTACCAATCGTTGATTTGAGAGTTTAAAATTTTTTGTTACCTTTGGCCGGTAAGTTTCTTTTTTCATTTCTTCATTTGTTTCCTTTTTTGAACAACTTCTCAAATGAACTCCTCTTGTATCATTTGCAAGCTCAATAAGATCCCAAATAAGTTCATGGTGAAGTTCTTTCTGCTCTTGTGTTGATCCTAATATTTGTGTAATTCAATAAATGTTGACAATCATGATATCTAACAGCCAGAAAAAAAGAGGCATCCAATTTCTTCGTACTGTCAGTTGTGTATTGTAATACGATCTCAGTTGATCAGCAACATAAACGCTATTCATATTATGGTTGTAATTATTGATCACTTTGGGGATTAATAACTTCTTTTTTGATTTAGAGTCAAATACTGCACACACCTTTAGGTGAGAAAGAGAAAAAGAGAAGGGAGAAAAAAAAGGAAAAAGGAAAAAAAAATAGAAATGGAGAAACAGAAATGGGAACAGAAATAAAAATGGAAACGGAAAAAAAGAAAAAATAAAGGGAAAGAAAGAGAAAGGAAGGAAAAGAAAAGGAAAAGAAAAGAAAGAAAAGAAAAGGGGAAGGAAAGAAAAGGGAAAAAAAGGGAAAAAAAGAAAGTTTATATGTACTGTAAGTATAAATATGGAAATAAAAAAAAACTAAAATAATAAAAAAATTTAAAATATTTGTAAAAAAAATACCTTTGTCGCATTAGTACTTGTTTCTTTTGGTCACTGCCTTTCTCGTTCTAATTCTCATTCTTTACTAACAAGACAATAAATTATTGATAACATAGTAACAGATCTATTGTCTTGCCAAAAAATAATTAATATTCTATTTACTACAACACAAGAACGAATATTCCAATTAAGCTTAATATTTTTATCCAGTTTTAATTTTTTTGGAAATCCTGTGGTATTTTTTCGAACAGTTTCACAAGCACCAATGCTGATTTGCTGAAAATACTGAAAAAGAAAAATATTGGAAAAATAATTATTCATGTAACTATTGTATGAATATTGCTGATATGGAAGCTGTGTAATAAGGTGGTAATCAAGACAACCAATTTGATTAAGCCTTTCACTCTTATTACATTACTTGAAAAGATACGTAACATTGGCAAAAAGTATATGTATATCTTGAATTACAAAGCGATAAGATTTTAAAACCTTCAGAGTTGGTTTATTCTTTATTCTGACTGTATAAATACTTCTTTCAGAAAATCGTATTATCATTTTATTTACTGAAATATTCGAATTTGGAGTGTAAATCTGTTTTGAAACATCACGAACTTTTGAGAGCAGCAGTTCCAACTTTTCAAAATAATTATTAATTGTAACCATAGTAGAAGAGACATGTAAATATCACTTAATTTATTCAAACTGCTTTAATGATATTTGTTTTGAAATATGGTAAATAGGAGAATTCAGATCTTCATTCTAATTTAAAAAGTCCTTAATAGATAACCAGAGCTATTCAAATAATAAGCTCTTTACGATTTATCTCTTGTCATTTTCTACCAGTAGCATTAGCATTTTTTGTTAAAACATACAAATTTGTATTAATAACTATTGTATCTAAAATAGAATTTGTGAAAAAAAGAAGAAAAAGATTGATTGGTTTGGAAAAATTGGCTTCATAATTTAGCTGCAAATTAACAAAGGCTTAGTGTAATGGTTTTGAATGAACAAAGTGTTCAAAATTAAGAGGTTGTAGCAATTATACAGTTTTTGATTAATGTTTATTTTTACGAACACTTTTGGTATACTACTCTTCTTCTTCCTCAATATTTAATTCCAAATTATTTACAAAATGTCAGCGAGATGTTAAAAGTGATATATATCTTTTCATCAGTATTCTTTTGTGATTTCAAGAGAAGAATTTGAAGATAAATTTGAGGTAGCACATTTGGTCTTGTTACAGAAGACATACTTTAAAAATGTATAAATTTGAGACGCGGAAATTTAGATTATCTGAAAAAGTAGATTTAAAAATATATTAAGAGTAATCACGTGACTATTAGTAAAGTAGTACACTTTTATTTTTATTTAGGAAAGGGAAATTAATTAGGCAAATCTTGAACGTTTATACAAATGATGATCAAAACAAATTTTAGCAGGCAAATTTACTCACTAGATGATTTAAGTAATAGTATGAGAAACAAAATTTACAAGCAAATGAAGCTGTCAGAAAAAAGCGTATACTTAATGATAAAAGTTATAAAATAATTCAATCAAAAAAAGCTCAATCCAAAGTTTAAGATTTTATAGAAAGTATAAGATTAACAGATGAAATAATTAAAGAAATTAATTGTGTACTTATTAATGCATTTGTAATTTGTGAAATTCTATAGCATACTATCAAAATTCCTTTTTTCATTGAATTTCTTAAAACATTACAATTAGCTTATATTCCACCTTCAAAAGATATACTTTCTGGGTGACTTTTAGCTTAAGAAAATGCTGTAGTTAATTAGCAAATCATTAAAGAATTAAAATGTCAAAAAAATCTAACATTATATATAAAGTTACTGGACGAAATCAAGAGTTTAGACAGATGTTTAAATGGTAAAAGTAAAACTTGGTTAAATTATATTAAAACCTTATTGAAAAATCTGCGAAATTTGGAAAAAGGTAAAACTATATCAAAGCTTATAAAAATAGCGAAACTATATCAAACACTTAGTAAAAATTTAGCGAAACTAAAGGTTTTACCATTTTGCCAAATCCAAAATGAGTTTAGACAAGCAACCTTAGTTGTAACATTGTAAATTTTGACTAAGTTTTAATTGATAATTTTGATATTAATTTAGTTTCATTTGATAATTAATGTAAATCGATATCAATTTAAAAGTATACTTAATTTTCAGTATAATAAGCAATTTTATTACTATAATTATCTCACTTATTAATTTTGTCAACTTTATGTTCTAGTAAAATTATAATTTTATTTTCTTTGATATATTTAGTTACATTTATTTTATTAATTATGAAACATGTATAAATATTTTTGTATTTTTATCAAGTATTAATACCAATAAATGATTGCATCAATTAATTTATAAATAAGGGAGAAGTAAAATTAATATTTCATTAAATTAGATTAATTCTTATAATACCTTTAAATAAAACCTTATTTTATTTACAGTCAAAATTATTTCTTTTAGCACTAATACTATTCAGTAAATATTCAGCTGATTCAGTCATATGATTCAGTAAAATTTTAGCTCAAATAACAAAAATTGATAATAATTTATTACACTATATATAATTAGCATTTATTTTGACATTAAGATTTTTCAGTTATAATATTTGGCAAAACTTTAATCAGACTCAAAATTTGATAATATATCAACTATATCTCAATAGTTGAAATTAGTTGAGCTGATTTTGCAAAAATTATAACATTATAATCAAATAAGAGTAATTGTACTAAAGGAATGATATAATTTTTCCCAAAGAGATGATAAAAATCATCCTTAAAGGAATGAATAAATCATCCTAAAAGAAATGATAATTATTCTAAAGAGATAATAGAAATCATTTAAAAGGAATGATACAATTATCTCTAAAAATACAATAGAAATCATTTCAAAGGAATGATACATTTGTCTCTAAAGAAATAATAAAAATCGTCTCTAAAAAAATAAAAATCGCTTCTATAAAGACAATAAAAATTGTTATTAAAGAAATAAACAATCATTTCCAAAGAGATGATAGAAATCATTTTTAAAGAAATACACAATCATTTCCAAAAAGATGATAGAAATCATTTCTAAAGAAATGATGCATCATTATTCTAAAAAATGACTTTTGACATTGTTCTTTTAGAATGATTAATTATCATTCTGAAAAAATGTTCTTACATTATTTTTAAGAAATAATATATTATCATTATATAAGAATGATATATACTTTCAAAACGAATTTATCATCATTCTATTAATAAATATTTGTATAACCTTTCTGTTAAAAATTTTTATAATTTTATTATTTAATAAAACCATCAACTACCTATTTCAGATCAAGAACAATGTTGAATTCTCTACAGTAAATTTTAAATATTGGGGATGTTAATTAGTAATTTCAAATTAATCACCTAATAACCTCCAAATTTTTTCTAATTTAATCTAAACCAATAGCAGTAACATGTAAATGATGCAAAATATTTTCAACAATTACGAATTCTTTCTTGGCAATATTGATATCATCTGAATGCGCTGAATTATGATCAAAAATATATTTTTTCGCTTCCATTAATTCATCATAGATATATATAACATTTGGTATAGAAATTAGACCCGTTCTAAAAAATAAGATCCAGGTTATCTGGCAGATAAGTTATTGGGTCACCCAAGTGATTAATAATTTTAGTTATATCCAGATGAATTTAATATACAAAATACTGTTCAATCAAAATTTTATCATGAAAAATGTTTATTATTTTTATTTAAATGCAGTTATTGCATTTTATCAACCCCAAATTTTACAATATAAACTATTTCTTTTAACATATAATAACTAACTGACTACTTCAGACGCTAAACAAGTTCTTTGTGAGATAACTTGATTTCCTACATCAGAGAAAAGCTATTCGCTTAGAATGGAAGTAGCAGAAATTGATAAATACTTACGTGATATTTTATTTAAAATAGAAAAGAAGTATTGATTAATACGCCACCATTGATAAACATCCTAACTTCGGGTAAGGTTAATGTGATTATTTCATTCAAATAATTATCAATTTCAATTTCATGATTTACTTGATTTTGATCATGACTAAAGATTTTTCTTATAAAAGTAGGTGCTAATGAAGAACTTGTTTCAATATTAGTTAATAATTCATCGGCTATAACTAAATTTTGTCAAGTTTTAAATTCATCACATAATTTATTGATTGTGTCATTTCGAATTTCTTCAGATCATGCTTTCATTGATTTTAATCGTAAATCTAATAATGTGGCAATTAATCCAATATTTTCTGAATCTGCCAATAATGCCAAAGGAAATTATAGATCACATCTCGAATTTTTGAAATTATTATTTTGGATGAGAGTAAATTTTGACATTGGTTATACTTCAAAATTGATGTTTATGCGTAGTAGATGTTTGAATTTCCATATTATTTTCAGAACTTTTATTATTAAAACTTTCATTATCTGATGAAAGTATATCTGAAATTTATAAAAAGTTAAGTTTTAATTTTTAATTTATATAATTAATTATTTATTTAATACCTTCATTAATAATTTTATTTAATTCTTCTGGTATTAATATACCACTATTGGCAAATTCAAATTTTAATGCTTCAATACTTGGATTAATAACTGAAAGAGTGATATACTGAATTTCACTAAAATAGGATGTCAATTCATCAAATGGTTTTAGTACATTTACTAACTCATTTAATAATAATCATTCATGCTCTTTAAGCATAAGACTTTTTAATTTGCAAGAATCTTCTTTAGAACTATTTTCATTTTGTAAATGCAAAGTTGCAACAAGCCGTTCAATTGCTGAACTTAAGACTAAAAGTCTTTTCCAAGATTGGTAAGTAGAATTTCATCAAGTTTTTACATCATTGATAGTACGCAAAATTTTAAATTCTGTTTCTTTAACTGTTTCTAAATTATCATCTATTTCTAATAAACTTTCAGTAGAATTATTAATTTTATTATGCTGATTTAAATCAATTTGAGCTTGATCAAGATGTTGACTTTGTTTTGAGGATCTAAAAAATTTAACAAGCTTTTGAAACTGTTTGGTATATGGTTTAATTTCTTTTAAAGCCTGAATGACTGTGAGTTGAAGTGTATGTGCAGAGCAAGGGAGGCGTTTTACACCATCCCAAATTCTAATAGCCTTTTTCATATTTTTCCCATTATCAGTTATTGCACAAACTATTTTTCCAGTTAATTCAAATTCCTCAATTTTTTCATTTAAGTATTCTTTGATACATTCACCAGTATGTGGATATTCTATTCTTTCAACAGCTAATATTAAATCATATATTTCAAAATTAGAAGATAACCAATAAAGAGTTACACCAATGTATCCATCATTACTACGTGCTGTCCATAAGTCCGTTGTTATAGATGCAGTTTCACAAGTAATAGAAATTAACTCCCTAAGTGCTAAAATGCCTTTTTGATAAGCAATTGCAAGATCTTTTTTAATATCTTTATTATTTGGCAAAATAAATGCATTATATCTTTTCTATGAACAACATTAAATGGTAAGGAATCTGTAACTAACCATTCAGCTGTAACTTGTTTTAATTCTGCTTGTTTAGGTGCACGATGTGGAGTTACTTTTCTAATCATTTTATCGATATGTGTTTGAATTTTTTCATTAGAATTCAATTGAAGATCATCTGGTGATGAAATTCCATGTTTTGTTTGAAGATGTTGTTTCATGTTACCAGTTCCACCATCATGCTTATAATTTCTTTTGCATTCAACTTCTTCACCTTTTAGAAATATAATTATCTTACAAACATCGCGTCCATTTTCAATTTGAAAATATTCCCAAACATAACTTGACTTTTTGGTTTTAGAATTATTATTGGTAAAATTTACTCTGATTCTTTTCACATTTGATTTCGCTACAGGCTTCTGTATAGTTTTTCTTCTAGCTGTATTAGATGAAATTTCATCATCTTGAGCGTCAGTATCAGAAGTATATTCATTATTATTATCCATATTTCTTGAAAAAATGGGCGTAGAAAATTCCTTACACGATTGATATATAGATGAGCCCTTGCTATAAAAATTTTGTAATGTACGACTTGTTATTAATACCCTTTCTCCAAATTCATGAAGTCCCTTTGACATTTTTTTGCCATGGCATCTGAATGCTGGACTTCTTTCGGCCACATTGGCTAACCTATGATATGCCTGCCGTATGTTCTGTGATTGCATCCTCAGCTATATCATTAAGGGAAATTAGGTTAATTACACATGAGAAGAAATCTATTTTTTCATCATTTGAATAAATATTTACTTGATATATCAAGATTATTAATCTCTCCAAGACCGTTATTGATTGTATCAGCCAAATTTCGAATAAAGGCTTTTTGTATAGGATTTACTTTCTTTTTAAAATAAATAAATAAATAAATAAATATCAGTAAGGATTATTGAAATACCAATAAAAGGGTAACAAAAAAAATATACATGCAATCTCAATCGCTACAATAATCGAAATTATTAAAATAATTGCACTGATTAACCTAAATTTCTCATTATTTGAAACATTATGTTTTATTATGACTTTTAAGGTTGGGATTAAGATCATTATTAGTTGAACCGATTAATTCTTGTTGTTGCTCCTGATAAATTTGATCGGATTTCTTATTCATTTTAATTTCGAAATTTGTTATTCTACGAATAAATGCTGCGTCTCGAAAAATTGTTTACAAACTTGAGTGCTGAGGTTTTACTTCTGTTGTGATAAAAAAAAAATTTCGTAGGATGTTAGAATCTTTGAAAGTTTTTTTTTTTTTACATAAAATTTGATATATTTTTACGAAAAAAGTAGTTTTTCCGGACATTTTGATTTTGTAGTTCATATTTAGTTATCAGATGCCTATTATAGTTAGTAGCATTATTTATTTTGTAACACGTGACTTTTATTTCATAAAAATTTCGTTGGAAAAAAATAATACACGACTAAACAGAAACAGAATCAAAATTAACAATATCATTCAAAACGCTACATGTTTGTTCTATATATCTTTTTGCTACCTTATTAAACTCGTAATAAAAATCTTTGATAAGTCCTACAAATTTATCATCATTGATAAAGTCGTTGGCAAATGATTTGCCATAAAAATTTAAAATTATTTTCATTTGAAGAGCTGTAGTATGTAAATTTAATAAATCCTTTCCAAAATCTTCGGGGCTTTTATTTACCAAACGTAGGTCTTCCATTAATTCCTCAATATTTGTTATGAAATGATTTAATCTTTCCCCAAAATATTGCACGTTACGTCTAAACTCTTCAATTTTTGTTTTTGAAATTTTCGTATATTGAAACCATGATTTAGAATCTTCAATTTTCGTGAGCACGGATGAACTTTTCATGTACAAGTTTCGTAATGAATCGTCTGTTTCTTGTGATTTTTTCCCAAAATCACGAAGTCTCGTATCAATAATTCTATCATTCAAGTCAAATTTTCTGTTTTGAATAATATTTGCTGTTGCAAGGCATTCGGCTACATCATCATATGTAAGTACGTTAACTAAAAGTGTAATAAAGCATATATTGCTATCAATTCTTATAATGCTCACCTGGAAGGCCAATTTCCTCAAAAATTTTACTTGTAAAAACCTGGAACTTTTCAAAAATACATAGAAAGATTATTGAAGTAACCAAAACGCAAACATCAACAAAATTATTATACTTACGAGCAAAATAATTGCGATAATCGGAAGAACTACAACAAATAACACCGTTCTATTGGAATAAGGTTTTCGTTGATGACTTTTCTTTTTATCTCGATTATTCTAAAATAGGTTAAGAAGATGTGATAAACGCTTGCGCAAGCATCCCGAATATTTTCGAAATTTGAATTTTAATTTCTAATACCAACCTTGGATTCAGCCATGATTATTAATATCGCAAAAGTTATTTTTAATTTTTATATTTTTTTTTAAAAAAAAAAAAGTTTAAATATGCATACGCATTGTGTTACATTCATATTTCGTTAGTCAAAGCTTTTTTGGTTTAATTTGATTTTACGCCAAGCATTTGCTTACACGTGATTCCGATAATGAATGTACTTTCATTTAAATTATATAATTAAAAGATTCTTGGAAATCCCCTATTTGCAATTAGTTACATTACATTGGAAATATACATATTATTCTATTGATTTACAACTTAATATTCATTGCTACAATTCTGTAACGCTATGTTAAATTATTAATTCGTCATTTTCTCATTATTATACCGCTAAATTTTTTTCATTCAATTTGCTATTTGATAATTTTTGGGCAGGGGCTTAAATATCAGCCGATTGGTTGATATAGCCTTGCCCAAAAACTCTTTTATTGGGCATATTAGGACCGATGAAATTACATACGTCATGCGTCGACCATTTGAGGCCGCACAATAAAAAGAATTAAATACCTCAGATGTCATATGTCGACAAACCCATTTTTTATATTATTTTTTTTTTATGTCAACATCTGACGCAATCGACAATATTTATTAATAAATCTTTTTTTTATTTTTTTTTTGCAAAAGAAAAAAAATGTGGAATCCAAACAGAAATTCGAAGGACTTGCTAAAAGAACTGGAGATAAATGAATTGGATACGGTGATAAATCGGAAGTTTTAACATTACATACAGTAGAATATATTTAAAATTTCCTTTACTTTATATGTTGAATAATATGTTGTATTTCGATAATAATTGAAAAATGATTATAATAAATTTTCTTTGTTTATAAAAAAAAACTCGGTTTATTCTATTAGAAAAATCGTCCAACAGATTTTAAAGTAATAAATGAAGTTTAATTAAATTGCATAAATTAATTTTTTTAAAATAAAAAAAATAATAACCATAAAATGCGAAAAAAAAAATTTCTATTAAATCTAATTAAAAGGGGAAGAAAATAAATGTAAAATGGATCACAAGAACCTAAGGAAATCTAGTAACGCCAGACCTCTTAAGGAGGAACTCTAAGGAGGTTGACCAACCAAACATAAATGAATGTATTCGAGAATTTTCTTCTCGAGCGGGCCACCCAACCCATTAGCACTAATCAGAAATCTAGGTCGATAAACATTTTTTTTTAAATTAATAAGGGAATAGACTGGGAGCACATTGCCAGCAGATACGGCCCTGTATGTGCTAGGTATCCTCACCACTGTCTATTTAAATCCCAGTGCGCATATAAGAACAATAAATATCGATATGAAAACAAAGAAGTAATGGGCCTTAATAAATAAAATACGAATTAAAAGAAAATTAGTTAATTATTATAGTAAAAGTTTAAAGTAAACAATCATCAACGTTTTTATCAATGGTAAATTTTATTTAATCGATTCGTAGAATGCCCGCCTATATAATATTTCAAAATAGAAAAGTTGGTTGAGGGAATTATAGCAGAAAAAAAAATTTGTAAAAAAAAAAGGTTATCACCTAATTCTAACAATAATTTTTAACATCACAGAAAAGAGTTAAAAACCGCATAAAATAATATAAAAGGAAAATAAAATTCTAAAGTTCTGGATAACAGATTTTTCATTAATAGTAACAATAACCGGCAGGCTTCGCAAATTGGTTAACGTCACGCAGAAAGGATAGAACGTCACTATAATAGAAAGAGGAAATTGCGTAAAAGAGTAAAAAAAGGAATATAAAATTCACAAAACCAAAAACCCTGGATAAAATTTACAAACATCCTACAATAGATATACTAGATTAAAATTATCTATATGGTTTAGGAAAAACCCAAACCCGGAATGTTATGTGATTTACTCATCATCGTACGTCAAATTATATTTATACCTTTTTAACAAATAAAAAAAAAACACTTGATTTTTTATTTATTTATTTAATTTATTTACGTCTGTGAAATGAAAAAAGCTAAAATATTGTTTAGAAATTACAAAGTGAACGAAAGGTGAGTTATGTATCTCCTTAGTATTTGTTTCATTGTAAGGTGTACGAACGGAGTGTGCGACCTCCAAGCCGTGTATGGTGATGCTGACAGTCTTCTAAATAGGGTAGAGAAGATTCGTATTATCATACTTGCAAAAACTGAGAAACACCTGTCTTGAGTGACCTCCTCTCCCTTAGCGAATACTAAATTAGTAAAAAACCCTATTGTTTTACTTCAGTTTAGAGCGAACGATTCAAACACGACGGTCATATCTTATCTTTCGATCTATGCGGGCAACCTATTCATGTAAATCGATAATTAGTAATTGTTTTTATTTAATTTTATTATTATTATTATTATTATTATTATATTATTTTAATAAAGTATTTATTAAATTAAAATGTACAAAGTACGATCTGTGTAAATTGTGGCGATGTATTAGAAATAAACTTTTTATAATTAAAAAAAAAAGAAAAAAGTTAAAACAGAATTTATTCATTAACATGTACAAATTACGATGTATGTAAATTGTGGTCGATGTATTAGTAATGAACTTTTTATAATTAAAAAAAGAAGAAAAAATTTAAAACAGAATTCATTAATTAACTCCAACGAAATTATAATCTCTCATCAAGTTCTCGTGTTTAATTGATGCTTTTACAAAGCAATCAGCTACACTAATGCCTATGACATAAAAGGTATTTTCCGGAATAATATACTAGAAAAAATTGCATTGTAGATCTTTTTTCATTAAAGCACAGTACAAAAGAAGGTAGTAATAAAGCTGAATTGCTTGATATCCATATTCGAAGGCATTTTCTTTGAAACTTCATGAATCAAACAAGGACTTGTCTAGTATATTAAAATTGAAAATCATGTTTTGACCTTATTTTGGAGGTGTGAAAGTCACAATTCAGAAATAACGTGATGAATATTTTGAATCGAGTTCTAGTCATGAAAGATCAATATAATATTAATGAAGATTGATGTAATCATCGATTATATTAAAATCTTTATAGAATATTTTATTATTTTTTTGTTATCTGTTAATTTTGATAAAATATTAATCCACGATTTTTTTATTAAAATTTATAACTTTTTGTGTAATCAGCATGCATTTTGTACATTTTAAACGTTTTACCAACCAAATTAGTGGTATGCTATTAAAATTGAGATAAGAGACATAGTAAATCATATGATCCGTACCTCAATTTTAATAGCATATGACCCAAATGAAATCAAAAATTAAAAAAAATACTATTTTTATTTGAAGGTCTGGGAATTTGTGTGAATGGATAAACTAATATGAAAAGAGTCATTTATATTACATAATTACAAACTTGGTTTGGGAAAAACAACATTCGCAATGATCCGCTTTACTGAGTCATATTTCTTGAAGTGTACTGTTTAAATTTCTTTTCAATGTAAGTTAATAAAAAGAAAAGAAAAAATTTGAAAAGTTAGACATTAATCCAAAGGCAATGTTAATTAATGCAAGTATAAAATTAATCTTACCTTCAAGAAATTGAAATTTACCTATCACAGACTTTAGATCTATCAACCAATTTATATAATTCATTTACTTTCTCAACATTGATATTAATTTCTTTTCAATCTTGCTTTATTACCATTATTCAGATAATTCTTTGATCTTTTTTACAATTATGCATAATGAGTTAAAAAAATTATTTGTTACTTATCAAATGATTTCTTTTAATGAAACAAAAAATATCAATTCCTACAATTCCTACATCAATTTCTTTTTTGTACATTCCCTTCACTGTTAAACAATATTTTATATTTTTATTATTAGCATTATCCTTGATGTCATCCTGAAGAATTTTTGTTTTTTGCAACTATTCAATTATAATGGTGATCAGTAGTTTGCATTTTTTGCTACTAAAGTTTTAAAGCTCTCTTCCTTTTATTATCTTATTTTAACTACAAAAAAGAAATAAAGATAAATTATGGTATCAAATTATAATATGTAATTATTATTAATTCATTAAGCAGTTCTGAAAAATTAGTTCTTCAATTTCTTCAATTATAAAATTAATGGCTTCAAATAATTCATTAAATTTGCGTAAACATAAAACAAATATGATGTTGTGTTTAATTTTTTATGGTGTAAATTCTATTTTTCTGATTTTTTACTTATCACAAACCATATAATAAAAGGATTGATTTATTGGATTAAAAATTTTCTTTAATAAGTTCTAATTCTATAAGAACTAACTTAATACCAGTATTATTTTTCATAGTATTTATTACAATACCAAGAATAAAAAAAATTAATATTATACTAAGATAGCCAATTTTTTATATACACAAAATTTGGTAGTCTAAAATAATGAAAATATGTTATTTGCCAAATAATACATAATTAACTATTTTATTTAGCTTAATTTCAAGATATAAAAGTAACATTTACCTTTTTTTCTAATTGAGATTACTGCTATCTTATAATACCTATCGCTATATTATATTATCTAATATATCATAATATTCAAACTTTTCATTTATTAATTTGTGAAAATAATGTTTTATATAATTATATAAGTAAAAAAATTGAGTAAAATTAGTATTTCACTATTTTGCATCCTTTAATTAAAGTTAAGTTTTATAGTTTTAATTTGCAAGTACTTTATAGGTCATAAAAAAATTGTGAGAACTTTATTAATCTATTTATCACAAATTAAATAATAAGCTACTTAAGAAAGTTATAATTCTCCTATTAGGTAAATATGCTTGAATTCCTTTACCTTTACATTAAAATCTTTATGCAGCAATCATATTATAACATCTATTATCAATACAATACTATGTTTATATAAACAATTATCTTCACTTATTATATCAGGTTTAAGTAGATTGTAATTGAATATTAAATCTAATATAAAGGATATTTGAAAGTTTTCTAATACTATTTTGATATCATATTTCTCAAAAATTACCAATTAATTAGATCCAAATTTAATATATATTATATATAATCTTAGGTTATAAAATACAAAAATTTTAGATAATTTAAATTACTAGATATTGAGATATTAATGTATTTAACAAAATATATATAATTTTAATTACAGTTTTTTTTAAAAGTATTTAAATAATGCTAAATTAATTTTCTTAATATTTAATGATTTAAATTAAATAAAACTTTAAATATATAATAAATTATAATATATTTATAATTTATCAAAATTGAATTATTTTGAATTATTAGTTATTGAGATTTTTGATATATATTTGATATAAACAATATATTAAAATAATATAAAATATAAAAATTTTAGAACATTAATATTTGATATATTATAAATATATTATTCATTTTTTATATATTTAAATTATTATTTAATTTAAATCATTAAAATCATTAGATATTAAAAAAATTAATTTAATATTATTTAAAAACTTTTAGAAAAAACTGTAATTAAAATTATTTATATTTTGTTAATTATATTAATATTTCAATATCTAGTGATTCAAATTATCTAAAATTTTTGTACGTTATAGCCTGAGATTATATTTTATATATATTAAATTTGAATCTAATTCTAATCAATGAGTTTTGAGAAATATGATGTTTAATATGGCATTCAGAAACTTTTAAGTATTCTCTCAATAAGGTGAAAACTTCATCTTTGAATTTTTAAGAAGTTAGTTTTTGAATCCTATTCAAATTCAAGTTTAGATAGAATATATATAAAATGCAGATTAATTGCTAATGCAAATTTTCTAATTCAAAATTTAATTAATTCATAAATGATACCACTTTAAGAACCTTCATGGGGCGCATCGCTATCAACTTCATACCGCATCTCTACTTCCTAAAATTTTAGTTAACATCTTAAGTGCATTTCGTTGGCGAACCCTGAGGCATCGCCCGGGTTAAACCGCTAGTCCATCTTCCAATGAGGAACTCTCAACAACAATTGAAAATCAACTTTATCTCCATTCTTTAGACCGTTTTCGCCCTTGTTTATCCACGCGTTAAACATATAGCCCATTGTAGCAAATATTTCCATATATTAACTTCGCTCAAATCTAAATCTTCATCGTTAACAATGAACATCTTCCTAATCTTATAAAGGATGGTGTTCCAAATAACTGTGATGGATTTTCACAAATTAATCGACTACAGTGAATGTGTGGTGGTAACGTGAAATATATGCGAAAATTTCGTGTAACCATGATTATTATGTTTGATTGAATATATATGTTTTACCAAATACGTTAAAGACAGTTCGTCGGCTGATAACAAAAACGGTATAAATAGGTTTTGCATGTACGGTTCTTTCAAACTGCAAATCCCAGCATAAATGTAACTTTTTTTGATACGAACAAGTGGAAATAAAAAAAAAAGATTAAACACCATATCACAAAAGAAAAAGAAAAAAGAAAAATGGAAAAAGGAAAAAGGAAAAGAAAATTCACATTACACGAATACAACTTACTCTAGTAGTAATCGAAATACATTGTGAACCATTCACAATCTTTTTTTTATTTGATCGTTAGAAAATAGATTTTGAAAGTATGAAGATCTAGCACGAAGCTTCTTTTACGATAGATTCGTCTTCTCCTCCGACCATAAGTTGCACATTATAGTCATTCGCTTCATAATATAATTTACCGATGTCTCTTAATAATTCTGCCGATAATTCCATTGTAAATTTGTGGATGAAGGCGATTCAAAATTTTATGAAATATATTTTGAGGAAGGAAGGGCTTTTATATTTTGATTATTGGTTTTACATATCTGATATGTATAAATTCTTTTCTTTTTTGGTCGCTATTGTAAGGTGATCGATTATCTATGCATTATTCTTTGAAGAAAATCATTAAACATCATGTGAATGCGTCAAATATATGTTATGACGTCCGATGACATTTAATATACAACCACAAAATAGTCTTAAATTACACTTTGACATGATATTCCTTCTTAAAATGGTTCAAAGAGATAATTGCTTGAAAACAACGTGAATGAATGTACGTTATTTAAATTCATGGAGATTAAAGATTATTTACGAAACCTGTACAACTTTTTCATAGGGGTGAAGATGCATAATACTTCATAAATATACGGAAGATAATTATCTGCGAAGTATTTCGCCTCAAATACTTTCCTGATGTAAATCATATAATAAGGTGATTTTAATTAGCCTATCACAATTTTTGCTTGAAGTAGTTAGTGATCTCCTCGTCAACTTGTAAGATATTCTTTCGAAATAAAGGCATAAAAGGAGGATTGTTAATTGGGTTCGAATATACAGATAGATGGAATTTCACGATATTCACCTTGGAAAGTTTTTATTAGCCGCAGTAATTTCGCAATGATTGATATTTAATTGATTAATCGATATTTATTAAATAAATCTTTGCATCATTATTACTTAATTATAAACCTTCTGCTACATAATTCATTTTTATAAATATAAACTTCAAAGAACTAAATGCAACAATATCTATTTTCCACGTTATTAACTTTCAAGATTTATTGAAAGAAATAAAAGATAATTTATTTAGCAATGAATCGACCAAATAACCATTACATTATTAATAAGAAATGTCGTAAAATTGATGATAAATATATTGAAAATTGATTCCAACGTTGGTTATTTAACTAGATTTTTTTTATCAAATGCAATTTTATCTCAAAATAGTATATGATTTATCTGAACAAAACATGATTCCTTTTTATGCAACGCGCAAGAAATAATATTATGTCACTCATGCCCTCCTGATCGCACAATATTTTTTTGTACAAGATGATTAAGTTGATTACCAAATCGGTCAAAGAATTTATATCGGCCTAGTATGGCGCAGTTCACGAGGCATGATGTTCTGTTCTATAAAAATTTTGCGAAATATAATGATAAATTTATGTAAAAAATAAAAAAAATATTTATTTAGATTTTTTTCGTAAAATTCTCTATTCTTAATTAAGGATAATACCGCCTATACGGTTGGTGGTCAGGTAAGGAAGGCTTGGCTCATTTGACCGACAATAATTTCATTTATACGTCATACTGTAATTCAATAAATAGATCAATATATATAATCAGAAATGTTATGATTATATCATTATTTACTTTACAATATTATTACTTATAATTTATGAGATTTATTAAATAAAATTTAGTTGTGTAAAAAATAAACAAAGACGACATTTTCAGTTTAAATCATGAAGTTATAAAAAATATTAATTTATAATTGAACAAGTAAAGATTACAAATAAATATATTATTTTTTCTACAACAATGTTTCGAAATAATCGAACTAATACTTAAGATTATTTTCAAGACTTTCAAAAGAAAAAACAACGAAAATAAACGGAGCAAGAATAATGAGAGACAATTAAATAAGATGTTGTTCTCTCATTAGAATACATCATTGTCGTCGCGGTGCGTCGAAAACCATGACTTCTCTGGTGTCTATGTAAAATTTACATAATTTTTAACAATTAAATTTATAATTATATATGTAAATAATAAACTTACTTCAACATCCGTAGAATTATTAGAAGGTTTTCTATATAACAATTAAGGGTTTATTAATAATGATTAAAGTTTTAATTGTCCTTCGCGTAATAAACTTACTCGGGATTCCAGTGAGGCGTAATCTTTTTAGGCTTTGTAGGTTTTTCTTTCTCAAAAATTTTTTTGCTATAATAATAAATGAATTTAATTATTTATATTTATAAATAATATTTGAAAATAATTTTGCTTACCCTTTAATTCTTATAGGCACACTAGATAAATAAAATATTTTTACTATTATAATACTTGAATATAACGATAATAATTCTTTTGATTCTTTCTTACCTTTTGAGTGGAACCAAAAGGATAACTAAAATTAAAAGGAGCAAAAGATTGATTTTCATTGAGTATTTCATTTTGTAAATTATTTAAATTGTGAAGAGAGAGTTGAAAAATTATTCAATTATATAAAAAATATTTTTTATTCTTTTACGTCATTAGAAAAGTCATGAACTTTGTTATATTACTAAGGCAAAATTTATTAAGATAAACATTTCTTTATATAGTTAATACAAATAATAAAGTTACGCATAAAAAATAATCAATTAAAAATTTGTTATTGTTACGCATAAAAATGATTATTAAAGATGTATTTTCGATCAAAAAAAAAAATGTATATAGTTCCAAATGAAGTCATTTATTTAATTTAGAAACTAGATTCGTAATGAAAATCGTAATTAGATATGAATAGAATTTTAGAAAGAAAATAATTATTTATAGTTTCTTTATTCATTCCCAGATAAAGTAATTCATCTAATTTTAGGAACTAGTATCGTATGTTAATTTTTAAAATGAATGTTTTACCATATATGGATGTGAAACTTGCCGAATTTAGGAGATGATATTATGTAATCTTCAATACATTCTTCTATTCTAAATTCTTTTTTTTAATAAAAAAAAATCTTTATATTATTGTAAAAAATACCGCAACATTAAAAACGCCGATTTTTGTAAAACTAACACGGTTTGGAACTCCTGTCGATCTGGCTAGTAGAGCCTATCGCGAAAATTTAAAATAATTTTAAATGTGGCATAGTTCCTGAAAACTGCATATTTATAATGTTTAATCACAAACTTATTAAAAATCATTTAATTAATTAGAAACAACAAACAAGAATTATTAGACGATTGCGACACTCAACAAGCAACTAACTAAAATTTTTTTTTTGAATAAATATTATATTTTTGAATAATATTTCGGTAATATTATGTTATTTAACTGAATTTAAGAATTAATTTTAATCGCACTTTTTTATTATATTTTAGATTTTGCAATTTCTTTTATTATAAATGAAATGATTTTATTATGTTTAAATGAGATTTGGCTTGCAAGCTTATATTTGCTAAATTTTCATTCTTTATTTATTTTATATAATCGTAGCGTCCAATATTTTGAAATGTAATTTTACGTAATTTATCTTCATTTTTTAAGTGAAAATATATGTGAAAGTATGATATCATTATACTTCCAATATTCTCTGATATGATCTTTAAGTAAAGATGATATGGAATGAATTCAATCCCAAACGATAGTTCTATAAAATATTTATTTGTCCATAAAACAGGGTATCTTATTCATGAAGATAGTTTATTATTAAGAAGAAAAAAAATCATGGCGATTAATATATAAATGTATTTCATTTTCTCATCAAAACCAAAATGCATGCATTTCAAAAGAAATAATAGATCACTTTCAAATTTCTTAAGTTTAATTCGAAATGAAATATAACGTAATTATGTTTAATCTGATGTTATCTCAAGGATTCAATGAAAAAGTTTCCTGGACATATAAATACAAATTCATATTTTCATAATGAATAATCGGTATCAAGGATTTCTAGTCTTTTCGGTCTTACATTATAAAAGACCGGGCTTAAATAACCGCAGTACACTACGGTCTTCTGTTCGTGTGACATTAATTAAGGTTTTAAAGTAATATAAATATTTAAAAGAACTACAATGGCCTGAATTTCGTTTCATTTTTTTTTCTTTTATAATGACCGAAATAAATGATGAAAGCGGATAACAGTTGAAGAAAATGAAGCTGAAACTTTTCATTATGATATTTTTGATGAAAATAAATCTTTGAATATTGATATTAGTTTTCAAGACAATTTAAGGGAAATGCAGCAAAGGATGGGGATCATCGGTTCGTTCCAAACATCAGCAATATGAAAAAAATAAAAGATGAAATGGAAATGAAAAAATTGTAAAAAATATTTGCGATGATGGACAATAAAATCCCACAGGTAATAAGTAATAAATATTTATTTTTTTTTTATAAAAGACTGAATTACGAGACTAACGGTCGGTCTTTATAAATTAAAACCGCAGTCCGGTCCGTCTTTGTATAAAACTGATGATACAAAGACTAAGACGGACCACGAAGGACTAATTATCATCTTTTTATCCAAGTGATCAATTTAAAAGCATCAATATGTGTTTACAACTTAATAAAATGTAAAAATGTAATATTTTCTTTACAATTTTAAAATTTAGTATGTTAATAAATAATTTGTATTTTTCTTCTTGATAAGTTTCGTTACAATTTTAAATTTTTTTGATTCATAGTAAATTTTTTTTATAACTATCGCTATTTGAAGAATTATGTCAGTACTAAATTTATTACTTTACGATATAATATGCCCGAAAATAAAGTTACTCAGCACTACGTGCCTTATTGATATTTTCAATATCAGTAGAATTTGCCGAGCGGAGCTCAGCAAAATTTGACCAATCATATTGCGTATTGCTAACACGAAGTACCGAGTAATATTACATAATTATAATGATGTTATAAAGTTTCATTGATGTCATTATATACAAGGTACAAATACGATTGGAAAAAAAAACCAAAAAGTGCACTCTATCACCTCCATCATTATTAAATATATTATATTATATATGCAGGAATTTAATTCGTGTTTAATCAATGTCGGCACTGTGAGAAATTTATAAATAACCTATTGATTTAATCATGAAATCATTTTTCTAGGATTGGAGGTAAGGATATTGCCAAAGTCGGAATCGATTTTAATTACGACATTGAGTCTCAAACACGGATGATTTTCATTTATGTTGCAAACAGTTCTTTGATGTTTATATTTATAAACGAATGTATCATTATGTAATTAATATGCAAAAATTATTTTAAAAAATTAAATATCAGTCGTCGGCTCTTCAGAGTCAATTTTATTAAATGTCAATCGTTGCGGTTATTAAAATTATATAATTAAAAGTAATATCGGGATTATTCGAAACTTGTCCCTTAAACCCAAGTATTAATCCCGCCTTTTTTATACTTGAATTTTGAAAGGACAACTTGCCCAGAGGACAAGTTTACTAGAGGTCGTCGTTTTGGTCAGTGGTCAATTTGACCTACGCTGATCTCCAAAATCTCAGATCAGCTTATGTAGATCACTGACTAACTTAAGCAAACAATACAAGAATTTTATTATAGATTTATCTTTACGACACGCAGCTTTGGACAACAATTATTAGAAATACTACGTGAAATAGTTGGCTCGCAGGACGCTGAAGTTGAAGAATTCATCAAGTCCTTCGAATAGTTAACAAAGTGAAGCAATTAAATTTGAACATCTAATATTTTGTTGATAATCTATCATCGAAAATCAAAAATAAAACCCATGTTTGTTACATAAATTTTTGATTTATTTTGTAATTATACATCTATAGCGTTTATTTTCTAATAAATAAAGATTATATGACAAATGATACTTAAAAAGTTTTTATAAAAGTTTTTAAAACTTAAAAAATCAAAAAAAATTAATGCTTTTTATTGAAGTTTTGATTTTCAACTGAAATTGAAATCGTATTTAGCAGCAGATTAAGCGTTTGAAACGAATCCAATCCCTACCAGTAATGGCAAATGACCAGGTCATTTAAGTCATTTATACAGTATTGACCAAATTTAATCTTGATGTGAAGGTAAAAAAAATTAAGAAAGTATTATTAAAATATTAGCCAGAATTAAAGATCACATAATATAATTATAATTTCTTAAAATGACCATGTAATTGGTCATTCGACGACTGCAAACTTTCAAATGACTGGTCATTTGCATTTAGTCATTTGAGTCATTTAGGTCACTTGCCATCGCTGCTATATCCAAAAGCTGGTCCAACTATTGTCACAATATATGTCATGCTTTTCACCTCCCTACCATAACATTTTTATTAACTTTAAAAGAAAAGATAACCTCTTGATCTTATATTTACACAAAACTAGATAGGATCGCAACATAAATAGTAACCGGCATTTACATACTTTATGTGAGTTTTCATGTAAGTTTTGAAATATCAGTTTTTATTTTAGTTTACAAAAAAAATTTATTAACATAATTTGTAATATAGTCTGTGGATATTTTAAATACGAATAACTATACTCAAAAGTATTCTGAAAAGTCCAAATTTGGTGGTATTATAAAAATACTTCTTCTTATACCCTTATTGATTATTTGCCTATTAGATACAAGAAGGAAAATTGTCCAGGTGTTTATTCTACATTTAAGCAAGATAATTAATTCTTACGAGGGGATTATGAGTGGATTTAAGTTTATTATTGTATTTATTTATTTTTCATAAATAACTAAAGGCATAATGTTGTTATTGATTACATTAACATAATATTTAAATATTTACGTAAATTTAGCATAATTCGATTTATTTATAATAAAATTTAAATCTTGTTATACAAAAACCCCCAGAAAATAAAAATATCATATGGATGCTCCTGTGGGGTAGTCTTTACCATTTCACTTTCCAGTAATCAATATCAATTGGTCATAATATTCAAATTACGTTACGAAAGATTATTTTTTTTTTTTTGCAAAATTAGTCGCCAAATTTAAATAAATCGTTTATAATCGTTCGTTCTTATGAATGCATGCATTGCATGACTTAATGTCCGTTAAAAATAATTGTCCAGATCAAAATTATGAAAACAGCATTTGTGAACATTTGTAAGGTCAAAAAAAATCTACTATGTAAGCGATTTAAATCTGCTGGCGCATATCTACCGTTATTTACGGAATACGAAGTTATTATTTTTTTCGGATATTTATTTTTACTTCTGATATTATATTTTCGTCATACGATTAATGTAATGAATTCTTTATTAATTATTGCTCCGATTACTTTTTTTTTCGTAAAATACACAGAGATTATAATCTCTTAGAACGTTAATCAAAGATATACAAATGAATAATAAAATAAGGCAACGAACACTTTTAGATAAAAACGGCTTGATTTATTAGAAAAAGAAAATTAAACAATTTAACTCTCTCTCAATATAATTTTCCCAAAATGAAGTTGTTTATTGTTAAAATTTTTTCAATTTTTTCAACCATAATTTTTAGCAATCTTACAGTAAAGTCTCAAATTAATTCTTTTACATATGATGAAAACCGCACTGATCCCATCATATTTTCGATAGAAAATTATGAATATTGTTCATATCATTTATGCAAATGCAACAGATCCTTCCGATGATAATGATGATGAAATGCAATGCGTAAATAGATATTTGTCATTTCGCACAATTTTTCCTGGCGGAAGAGTTGAACCAGTTGATGTTGCGTTGGATATGTTGTAGCCCAAATGTCTCCATGTTTCAAGTTAAACTTTGGATATCCCAAATCGGAATTCCTATTTCGGACTTCCCAAACTGGAATTTCGATTTTGGATGATCATGTCCCAAATCTAACTTGGGTCATCCCAAATTGAATCTGGAGTATGGTTAAGTTTGGGACATTTAATATCCCAAACCTGACCATATCCCAAATCAATTTAGAACATGGTCGAGTTTGGGACATATAAGATGAAACCAGAACATGTTTCAAATCTACCTAAGTCAATTTAAGATATGGTCAAGTTTGGGACATTTGATTCACCAAACCTGACTATGTTCCAAATCTACCTAGGTCAAGTTGGGATATAGTCAGGTTTGGATATCCCAAACCCGACTGTGTCCTAAAACTATCTAGGTTAATTTGGAGTTTGGAACATCTGATGTTCGAAACCTGACCGTGTTCCAAATTGATTTAGGTAAATTTGGGATATGGTCAAGTTTGGGACATTCGATTCTTCAAATCTGACCATGTTCCAAATCTATCTAGGTCAATTTGGGATACGGTTGTGTTTAATATAATATGTTTCAAACTTGACCATAAACCAAACTAACTGGGTTAGTTTGAAACATGGTCAAATTTGGGGTATCGGACACCCAAACTAGACTATATCCCAGATCCGATTTGGGATATTCCAAGTTGAATTTGAAGTTTGGGATATGATCATCCCAAATTAGAAATTGCAGTTTGAGAAGTCCGAAATAGGAATTCCGATTTGGGATATCCCAAGTTTAGTTTGGGACATGACAACATTTGGGCTATAACAGATATACAAGATTTAGGATGAAGTGTATAGCCCTATGAAAATTTATGCTGTTAAAAATAATTTTTTGTTAGTTACTTATACCGTGGTTATGGATGTCAATGATCATGCAACCTATGATGAACGTGCGATGATTGTTGATTTAACTGGCAAAATTTATAGGTTACGAAGAATAATCTTGAATTGAATTTATATAGAATAATTTAACTTGTCTTTTTTATTTTATTTTTTTATTTTTATAGTAACCACACCTTTTTTGATCCTGTTATTCCTGTTACAAATAAGTGGTTGCCTAACTTCACCAGAATCGTTTAAAATGTTAATCGTGATAAGGGGTTTCTCCGTCTGGGTATAGCAAATACTACTAATTATTTCTGGAAGCAATTCATAATGTAATTTACCTTGGTTCATATATTCTAATTTTATTATGGAAAGTGGCTTAGTATTTTTTAACAGAACTGATGATGGAGAAATTCAACTACTTGCAGAAGATGTTATAATGTTTCAAGAATATTATACATCGGCTTTACTCAATGATGGATGGAGGATATGCGGTTATTTTTGCTAAATTTATTGATTCAATTGCTACTCCCAATGATCCTTTTCCTACACGGTGTTAGTGATAGTCTTGTTATGACGCACGATACTGCACCTAACCTAATTAACGAATGGTAATCATGTCGATCACGATTCTCAACTTTCTACCATTTCTCTGATTTCTCGGATTTCACTAATTTCTTAGCTTCTTTATTATATTCAATTTTTTTATTTTCTTATATTTCTTATATTTTTTTACTATCTTAAATATCATTTTCATATTGATGTATTTTATATAAATATCTTGTATTTCTGCCTCAATAAATGGCAGAGTCGCTATCAATTCTCTAATAAATCAATAACATTTATCTCTAAAACTTATCTTTACTCGTAAAACTAATTCATTCTTCATTTTCTTTATTATCTAAATTATTATTTATAATTATTTAAGAAATATGAAATTGTTTGCTTCTTTAATCTTTTATTTATAAAGAATATTACTTTGAATTCTTGAAATATTTAAAACTTTTTTGTTCTAATTAATAATAAATTAATAAAAAAAAATTATTACAAATAATAATAAAAAAATTATTTAATTTAAATAAATAAATATAAATACAACTTATTTCCGATCTATATCTTTTTTTTGTATAAATAAAACCCATGGTAAACCATAAGCTTTCTACAGAAGTAGCATTTATATAAATTTCATAAAGATATAATGCAAAACATGATATTTCTGAAGAATATCCTGAATATGATTCCAAAAAACTCATAATATTTTTATCAAATTGTTCTACTATTGATGAATCAAAAGGATATTTTCCTTTTTTAAATTTGACAAATTCTAAAAAGATAGATTTTGGTTTAATATTATACAAAATTTCATAATAATAATTTAATCATTATCCAAAATCTGTTGTTACTGAGTATAATTCTCTTTCTATCGCATATGTTTCACTAAGTTACTTTATTGTGGCAAGTAAATTTCTTATCATTAGACTTTACAACCTTAGAAAATCTCACATTCTACAAATATTCAGAATGTCTTAGAATTACTTCGTTTGATTTTACGAACTTAAAGGTTTAGTAACTTAAGGAAAAACGTAGAGAATTTGTTTATTCTAAGTGATAAACTTAATTGCAAGTTAGTATAGTGATTCAAAATCAAATCCTAAATAATAGACACATAGAAGGAAAAAGTAATTGTTTTTAAAGTTAATTCCTTTATTTATTACTTAAAACTTACAAGTATTTAAGAACTTATAAGAGAATTAATTTATAATTTGAGCAAAAAGTTATTTTATTTATACAAAATTAATTTGCTATAGCTAACTAATTATTACACTATAAACTAACTAAATTTGTAATTACAAATACTAATAAAATAATATAAAAATAATAATAATAATAATAAAGATAATAAATATAATAAAAATAATAATAATAATAAAAATAATAAAAATAATAATAATAACTAAATTAATGGAATTACAGGAAATTAGGAAAATCCAATGAATCATAATAACCAGTAGATCTAGTAGATCCTAAAAATCTTAAGAATCCTATGGATTTTACAAATCATTTGGCACAGTATTTATCAGACTTATTTTATTGTCATTCTATTGGTCACTAATGATTATCATAATAAAGTTGATTTTTAACATTAACACTGTATAAGTAACATATTGTATTGTTTAATAAAATATTTCAATACCATAATATGAATAAGGAATAAAAGAAAGTAGCAAAAGAAGCTGTTTTTATTAAATCCAGATTTTTTCAAGTCTTTCTACCATTTTTATACCAAATGTAAGATCAGGTAATTCATGAAAAATTTTCATAGTATATGCAAAAATATAAAGCATTTCATAAAATCTTGTTATATTCATTTGAAGTTTATTGAAAATCTATAAAGTGGAAGTAATAAATTTTATAATTCAAATAAAGTAAACTAAAATATTTAATCATTAATTATTTGAATAATATTAGCCAATATTATTTTTTTATTTGTTAAAAAGTTATATATAAATGTTTAGATTTAGTATGTTGAGGAAAAAATTTTAGAACTAATAACTAAAATAATATTAAATAATATTTATTAATATTTAATTATCTTAAATTAATTTCTTTAATTATTTATAAATATTTAAAATAAATTCAAATACTTTAATGTAGCTTCAGTTTTTAAAATATTATGAAAACAAAAATAATAGCTATTCTAATATGTATCTTCAGGTCTTATAAGAGCAATAATTGTTATATAAATTATTATTTGAGTAATATACTATTAAAATTAAAGTATAGATCATATGATTTACTATATCTTGTATCTCAATTTTAGTAACATACTACCTATTTGCTTATCTCTAAATTACTAGCAAAATAAGAAGATATATGATAAAAACTAACAATTCGAATGGCCTTTGTAAAAATATTTTTATATATAGTTAATTATTTAAAAATATCATCAAATATTAAATTTATCTGATGTATCATATATAGTAAAATGTTTTGTTTTTGTATTTAACATGCATTTAACGCTTATATATGAAAATATTATTAATAAAAATAATATTATATTTAATTAGAAATAATAATTTTATATAAAAATGATTAATATATAGAGTAACATATTCTCTAGCTAAATCTAATACAAAACAATTAATTTTTATATTATATTTATCTGCTTGTTTCATAATATCTTTAATATATTAAACTATATCTTATATTTTAAATCGATTAGAACTAATATCTTTTGCATCCAATATTATTGCTTTTTCTCTTGATGTAATAAATATAATACCAAATAAATGCTTAAATCAGATCTATTAAATATTGCAATAACTTCATGTAAGTCTTTTTATACAATATTAATATTTATTTTTTAATTAAATCATCTGATACATTTGTTAAAATTGATCCAGAAAGTATTTTCGCTCTTAGCAATTTGATTGCTAATGCACAAAATTTAAAAATTCACAAGTCTCTAGATTTTCAGTAAAAGAAGAAGGTAATTCATTTAATATAATCATATTAAAAAAAATCACAAAAATGTGAAGAATCTTAAGTTAATAATAAATATGATATGTAATTTGTAATAGGAACTTGTAAAATTGCTTGAATTGCTATTATTTTGTATATTTATTTTGATTTTTAACTCCATTTTTAAAAATAGTTTTAATTTTAAATAAATAAATTAATATTATAGATTAATTAAATTATTATAAAAAATATAAATAATAATATTCACCTTTTCTTTTACTTGTATTTTCTTTGTTATTATTATTATTATTATAACTTAATACAAGTAATTCTGCATATTCTCTTTTATTATTTTTTTTAAAATTTTTCATAATATACTAAGTGATTATGACAAAACTTTGTTTTATTAATAATACAACGATCCTTCTTAGTTATTGTAAAATTTTAGATGCATTCTTTAATATAATAAAGACATATAATATATTTATTAGTTTTATTATTTGGATTTAATATTAACTCAAAATATGGATGAAAAGAACGTGGCTATTTACCCATTTTTATAAAAAAATAAAGTATTGCATTAAATTTAATTTGTAATACATGCATATTTATTTGAATATTCATGTATGAAAGTCTTTATTTAAACTAGGATAGAGGTGTTAATTTTCAACAATTAATTTCAATATTTTGAAATGATCTAAGCTAAAAAAAGATCGAAGAAAAAAATAATGTATTTACAAAATAATCTAATATAAATAAATAAAATAATTATAATAATTAAAGATGGTACTGTAATTAAGAAGTTGCAACTCGGTAAGTTGCAACTTGGGTTGCAACTGATTGCAACTTCTTGCAAAATTTATTTTAATATAAAAATTTATAAATAGTTGCAACTGATTGCAACTTCTTGCAAAATTTATTTTAATATAAAAATTTATAAATAGTTGCAACTCAATGAGTTGCAACTTAAGTTGCAACTAGCTAAAAATTCTAAAATTAATTACAGCTCCATCTTTAATAATAATTAAATATGAATTAGAAAATTATAAAAAAAATCACAAATATTTAATACATATTTAGAGAATTGTAATTTATTTGCAAAACTCTTAGAGAATTGCATAAATCTCTATTTTTAGGTTTTAATTTAACTTGCTAAAATCCACTAGCAAGATTCAGTGAAGTAAACCATTAGGATCTTTCAAATGTTTTCAATATATTATTAATGTGTAGCAATAGATAGTTATCCTTTTTGTAATACTATTTAACTTATGGTAATCAACATAAAAGCTTTTTTTTACATTTTTCTTTTCTATTACAACAACTGGTGATGTCTATTGACTTTTCAAAGGTTGGATTAACCTGACTTTAATAATTGATCAATTTCTTCCTTAATGAATTCCTGATTCTTATATAAGATATGATAAAACTTTTACTTTAGTAGCGAAGTATTTCCTGTATCAATAGTATGGATTATAACATTTGTTTTTCCAATTGATCTGATTTCCAAACAAATAAATCCACATATTCAACTATGAATTCATTAAATCTTTCTATTTGTTCAGTGGTAAGTGCTCCAGTATGAAAGGTTCCTTTCTCTATTTCCTTGTATTGATAAAAGGACTCCTTGATATCTTGAGATTCTGCAGTTGGTTTTTCTAATTCCTGATCAATTGATATCACTTCCTCAATTGAGATTTCTTCTGTATAACAGATTAATTCTTCTTGTTTATTTTCTACATTCAAATTTTTAGCACATTTTTCCTACAATATCTGAGTTAGGAAAATCAACTGTACTAGTCAATAAAAGGTTTTAAATATCAATTGTTATTATTTGCAATTTTTGTAAAAAATTAACTAATTTAATTAATTTTACCCACTTTTAGTAATATTAAATTTTCCATAGGTTGATAAAATACTAAACTATACAAAATCTGTATGTTTTAATTTTTTTACAATTTTAGTACAATTGTTATATATTCAAATTTCAAATTTTTTTCTGTACGTTTTCTCTGTTAAAATAACTTCACATGATTTCAGTACGAAACCTGTACAACTTTTTTTCATAGGGGTTGAACAAATATCTTTCTTGCGGTGCGACACGATACCGAAGGTTATTATATTTATGAAACGGAAAATATGTTAATGATCATAATTCGGGGTATTCAGTTGATTATCGATATAGCTAGCAAGAATATCTTTCACAATTTTTTGTCATTCCCTTTTTAGGGTTACTTGCTCTGTTTACCAATTGTGCTATAACGTAAAAAGGTCGTACACAGGTTTATTTATGCATGGCAAAAAATTGATTTTTCTTGACCCGAAATGGGATAATTGATGTTTTTATTTAAAAATTCTAGGTTAAGAATTTAATTTTAATATATTACTGTACTGTAAATAAAAAAAAACGTATGGATCCACATATTTTCAAATGATTGCTACTGTACCAACATATGCATGATCAACAAGGTGCTCAAATTTACTGTACCATATCATATTTAGGGACACAATCAAATGATTATTTGAAGATTTCTTTTTTTTTTTTTTTTTTTTATAAAAATAAAAAAAATAAAAAAAATTATGGAAATTTGTGAGGTCTGTTGAAAAATAAATTTCAACTAAATAATTTATTCATATAATTTTTAATCTTTTACTATCTATTTATCATTTAGAGAAGAAATACTACTATGATATTCAGTAATGTCGTATTCAATTCATTGCTATTTATTTTAATTATCGAAATAGCTTGGCTTGTAAGAAATGATTTCGTTTGCATTTTACCGTGTTTTTCAATAAATCTTGTTTCTTTTTAAGATATATATATAAATTTTTAAAAAACAGTTCATCCCTAGCAAAGCCCCATCACCAACTTTTTTTCAGAAATTTTCTAACGCAACGAACAATGTTTTTGAAGAAATTGTTAATATAGACTTCTCTGGTAAAAATGATTTCATTGATTTTTTTTTCCTTAAAAAGAAAAGTCCTTTCCTTCTCACCTTTTTAATAAATATCTCTTTAGCGGTCGAAGTAATTATGGAACATGCAATTTCATGCCGTGAAGTGGCATATTCGATTCAAACAAACCCAGCTTTTGAATTTCATGGTTGTCAGATATCAACAAGTTTACATGAATTTAGAGACAAATTGATAACAGCAGATTCTTCATTACGAAATGTGTACGACAAAAGTAGTGTGGTATGTGAATCATTTGAAACAGAAATCGAAACAATGATAAAAATCATGAAACGAAAAGGTGAAACTCAATATTTTAAGAAGAGGTTGAATAAATTATTAACCAAAATTAAGGATCTCCGACGATTAGTAGAAAAATCTCATAGATTAATACTTGACGCTAAAGATAATAAGCATAATATCGAAGGTAATATTGAGAAGGGATTAAGTGGTGCCGAAAAGTTTTGTTACAATAATGAACGATATTTGGCTGATATCGATAAAGCTAAGGAAAAACTTGTGATTGTCGAGGATAGTTTATACAATTTACATGATACTTCTCATCTTTTATCTAAAATGAAGTCAATTTTGATGGGTTATGAAGATATATTATTAGAGATTACTTCTGAAGTTTATGGTGAGAATTCATTTGAAGTTACTAGAGCTGATCTCAATTCTTTAAACCTTGCTATTGATAAATTAAAAGTATGTCATTATAAATTTACTCAGAGATACGAAGTTTGATTTTTATTGTAAATAAATATTTTTTTTTAAGAATAAAAAAAAAAAAATTAATTTAAATAATTTATCCTAAATGTTATAATTTGTTTCTGAGTACGCATTAATAGTGTAAATTTCTTTCGAGCAAGAGATAAGAAGATCAACTTTTATCTTATTAAAAGGCTGGTTAAATTAGGCGTGTTACAGTCTATCTAATTTTAAATACAACGAGAGGTACTTTTCAGAAGTCCTTTCCTTTATATTCCTTCACAAAAATAATGTGAAAACTAAAATCTTTGCGAGAATTAAATTCATATTCTTTAAAAGGTAGGTTTTCATTGTTATGGGCGTAATTTGTAAAACTCGTTTGGGACGTTAAACAAAAATGTTAAAAATGCTATTGTTTATATATGCGGTGCTACATGAGCCACATAGATCACATGAACAAAATGTCACCACCCTCACAACAAATTCGTTGATTGTAAAGCTTCCACCGAAATCTTTGCCGAGTTTTACGCTTATTTACCACCAAATGATTTATTGAAACCTTCTAAAGTATGCGTAAATTCTATTGTTTCCTAAATGCACAAAATTCCTTTTCTACCCAACCCCTATAAAAATTTTTAAGAAAAATGATCACGTGACTGAGTTTCTTCAGTTTTTTTTTTATAGGGAACAAATATGGAAGAAATCTCGTTTACAATTTTTGTTATATGAAAGGATGGCTCCACCAATTGGAATGAATGAAAAATATTATGTTGAATTATAAATTTGTAAGATTAATAAGCAATGTGTTTTAATTTTATAAATGATGTGCTGTATTTAAGTAAAGAAAAATTCACGTAACATTACTTGTTAAATAATCTTTAAATTGTTATAATTGGCAATTTGTTATTCGTTTGAGGAATCAAAGGAAAAATAAAGATGCTTTGATAATGGATCAAATGTTTTGAACTTTTTTTTTTTAAACCGATAAGAAAAAATTATATAATAATTATCATTATATAACAATGAATTAAAGACCGAAGGTTGCTTTATGATAAAAAAAAAAATTTAAAAAATAAAAATAAAACTCAATAAAAATGCATTATTCAAGACAAATTTTTCCTAAAAAAAATGTTGATCGTGAGGAAGGAAAAATAAAGTTTGACTGTTAATCAGTAAATTATATATAATTTCAAGAGTTTATAGTTTTTCAAAAGTATCTTAAATGTCATCGTTGATTAATAGTATGATCAGAATATTTTAGGATTGACTGTATTTATTACTTATCATTCCTTGTATTAATCGTTCAGAGATTTTACAAATAGATTAATCCTTTTTACTGTCAAACGTTTAGCTCCATAAAATCCTCCAGAGTCTCCTCCAGAATCAATAACCTCATAACCCAGTCCGAACGGGAGTTTCGTAATAGATAAGTTTTTCATATTAGTATGGTCGAAAAAAAAATACAAAAGAAACCTCAGAAAGATCAAAGAAAAAATGATGGATTTAAAAAAAAAAATACACACCGGGATATCGAGTATATCACAATAATAAATTTCTCATTATTTGGGATGCATTGCATTTTTCTAAAGGTCGGATTTGTCGTGACGGTTGGAAAATAAAATCTATAAAGTATCCACAAAATGACGAAGACAATAGTTACTCATTAAAAAACTCGATAAAAATAATTAAAAATACACACCGGGATACCGAGTATATCCAATAAGTAAACTTATTCTTCGTTATTCGGTTCGCGTTTTACCTAAATGCCGGACTGGGCGTGAGGAAAGTACATAACCAAAACCTCCTCCGGAATCAGTAGACGGGAGTTCCGAGATGGAGAAGATTTTCATATTAGTATGGTCGAAAAAAAATATTTTCTGAAAAGACATGATAGTAATGTTTAGATGTGTTTTTGGTGAGTTACGATGGGTGGTAAATAAAAAGGCAAAAGCAATAGGTGAAAGAATTAAGAAAATATTATTATATATAAACAAAGAACTCACCATAGATTACGGAAACTTTAACGATAACTCGTATATTGTTTCCTTGGACGTCCTTTTGTGTTGATCCTTTTTAACTCATTTGTATCATTTAATAAATCATAAAGAGAAGTGCTTTCCAAAAGGTTCTCATCAATATTAACACTCCATAACCTAAGGTCTATAGCTTTTATGTTGCCAGGATTACTAATTTCCTCTAAGATAGCTTTCTTTAGGTCATAAATAGAGTTAAGGTTTCCAATGGTAACGGAGAAGCAGCTACTTCTATATAAATGCACCAAAGTGCTATAGGCAAACCTTCAATAGACATTTTGTGCGTTTATTTGTATAAAAAAGTCAAAATGGGGAAAGGAAATAAAAATTTTTTTTTGGGAAAATAGGTATATAGTCATTACTAAGATAATTGAATGTAATTCCATAGATATTTTCTAGAAATTTTCGAGCATCAAACGTAAATAAAAACAATTTTTTTCCACCAGATGCCTTGTAAAAATTAAAATATAACCAATATAACCATATTAAAATCATATTATTATTATCCTTGTTGTTGTTCATGTAATAGATAGAATATAACATAATTTTTATTTGTTATTATTTCTATTGAATATGTTATCATGTGGATTTTAATAGTCGATCACCCATATATTATAAAAGTATTACATCATTTTTGTCCAATAATATAGCTTCGTTCTATTTTTGATCGAC